AGCACTCAAGAAGCTAGAGTTGCCCTCGGCTATCACCTCGGGCAACTCTTACGCTTCTTTCGTGCACTCCAAACTTCCCGCGTGCTCCATAACTCGATAGTGCACGCTAAAGCATGAACCAATTGTTAATTAGTGTTGTTATAATTCTTGTCATTGAACAGTTGTAGTTGATAGTAGAGCTAGGCATTTTCAATGATTACTTCTTAGTCATTACATTTACATGTTCTTAATTTCTCACTGCAGATACAAGTACATTTTTGGAAGAAGGCTTCTCTTTACTCATTAGTGTCCCATGTTTAAATAGTTTCTCAGTTTTAGTGTACCACTCTAGCCAAAGGAACTATTATGCATTTGGCAGATGGCCATGATGTGAGTTTGTAAAATTACCATACATCAAACCTGATTTTTTGGCCAACACACAGAATTGGAAGAGGCATATAGAGCGCTGGACTGTTGTGCGGGAAGTCGAGGGTTCGAGCCCCGGCCAGACCAACACTCAAGGTCTTAAAATAATTGAGAAGAATTTGCTACCTTTCTATAACATCAAGAAATGGTTAGATATTCTAGTCTTCTCGGATAGGGACGAATAAATGGAGGTCCCATCTCCTGCATGGTTGGGGTAGGAGAAGTAAATTTCCCACACACGAGATTACTGTGTGATGGATGTCCTCTCCTTGGGTGGGATGGGTGGGAGGGTGGACTAGCACGAATGGTTCGTATGTTCCTTTCTAGTCCTTACCCACTGCAAATTGATGCAGTGAAAATGGAGTAAAGTAAATTAGTAAATTAATATCAAATAATCAACTTTGCAAGTACATGTATAACAAAACTTTAGGTGAGGGCGCATGGAATCAGAAAGAGACATTCAACATCAAGCTGCAAATTTGCCAGCTTGTAACTGACCGCCCGTCTCTATAATATCATCAAGTTCCATAGGCTACCATACACTGATTCTTGACTTTTTTGAAGCTATTGATAGCCAAACAGTATTTCAATAACTTTCAACTTACATCAATAGATGAAACTGTAAACTTCTTGGTCTCAAACAGCTCCAGTAGATTTTCCTTCATCACCATCTTGGCCAAATGTCCAACCCAGATTGTTGTACTACAAACTAAATAACAGTAGAACACCTATCAGTTTTTTAGCGCTTGCTTTATTATAAAACCAGTGCAGTGCTCTACCAACTTTCATACATTTCATGAAACTGCAGTACATATATGATTTTCATATATTCACTGGTATCGCAGAGGTCATGGGTTCAAATCCTGTACAGGCCTGAATTTTTTCAGGCCTTATTTTCCACCTACTATATAAGTAGGGGTTATTAGTGCGAGGCATACTTTTTTAAATTTTATGAAACCTCAATACACATATATGATTTTCATATATTCAAAATTCATACCACTAAGTGTTTCCTTCTTTGGTGCTGGAATCCAGTCTTTTCTTTTTTCAACTTCTTTGTCACTGCCACGGCCTCTCTCCTTTTCTCTTTCCCTGTCAGAGTCACGATCTTTGTACCAATCCCTGTCTCTGTCCCGATTCCTCCCTCTGTCCCTATCTCTGTCCCTGTCTCGGTCTCTTTCCCGATCCCTTCCATGAGGTGAGCGTGACCGTCGTCGAGGTGAGCGATCTCTCCACCTGGGACTCCTACTCCGTCTTCTAGGAGACCTAGAGCGATGGTAATAACCAGGAGATCTTTCTCTAGAATGCAGATCAGGGGACCTTCTGCCAAATGGCCCTGTTAAAGAATAATATATCCAAGGTGAGACATATATACTTGCTCAGAGTTGCATATACAGTGTAGGGCCTAGCAGCTACATGTAGCAAACTTTCTAGTTAATTTGCAGCATTTAGCCCAATATTTTAGTCCTTACCTCAAATTATTTAGTGGCCTACAAGAAAATATATGTTGACTGTGGCAAGTTACACCCAGAACTGCTAACTTTTCAACAACTTAGAAAGAAAGAACACTTAAAGAAACTCTCAGTCTTACATTCTAAGAGGAAAGTTTGCATGTTGTACGTCAATTTGCAGTAATTCTTTGATGACACATATGCACACAGTTAACTGGTAGGTTAGGATGTGAAATGGTGGATGATTACAACACTTTCCTTGTCTCAATAATTTTACATTTTTGTCTTCAAATACGAGTGAAAATTAGCAGAGAGGAGAGGGATAGATATGGTGTCAGAGAGGAGAGGATAGAAGCAAGGACAAGCAAGGTCTCTGACTTTAAATTATATTAGACTTGAAAACCCCGTAAGAAAGCATTAAAAAGGTATGTGATTTTCAACAAAAAGAAGTCTGGTACCTGCAGGATCAGGATGTCGGTCATGAGGTTCCCCTATTGGTCTGAAAGTGCTCTGAAAATCACCCTGCAGATCACCCATGCGAGGGCGAGTTCTGAAAATTACAAATATTCAATTGGCATTAAAATACATTGCAAATACCATACTAAATTAGAACAGAAAATTGTGCTATACTTATGCTGTCTGGTAACCTTTACAAATCTGTCCAAATGGAAGTCAAACATATATCTTATTAACCAAGTGCGAGGGCCATACTGGGAGAATATTGGCCCGAGGTCTTGACAGCACAGACCTCGCTGTGCTTGGTCCATACAAAAAAGACAGAGGGTCGATATTCTTCCAGTACAGTCCCGAGCAAGCTTGGTTAATAAGAGATTTATTATACGACTGAAGTTCAAAGGGACACAAGTGCGGTATCATTCGGGACCATTCGGGACAGTACCCGGTCCAATACTGAGAGATTATTGACCGGCAATAGATAATTTTGATTGGTTGATTTTAGTTATTGGCCCTCTGACTGCCCAAGTCGTGTAATAAATATTACTATCATGCTATAGGCTTTATTTTCCTTGTACAGAGTTAATACCTTGGCAAGTGTTAACTTACTCTTGGCTTAAACGTCTCTCTTCCTCCATCAAATGGCGTCGTTGCTCAGCAATTCTTGCATCATCATCATCATCATCCCCATAATCAAAATCATCTATGAGAGTCTAAGGAATGTGAAGTAGATTAAGCAAGAATCCACTGTTCATTAACATTATATTTCACTGGGGCACCCACAGTGTACCTTTCAGTGATACCACAAATGAAGAAGAGGAATGAAAGTGTAACCAACAGATTGCACTCTACTTGAATTCTTCGCAAAACTAGAACAGAGCTCACTCAGATTGCTACTTTTAGAGAAGTAAAGAACAAGTCAATAATGCTGCAGTCTGCCTCTTTGTAACTGACAGTATATGACTGAAAAAAGACATTCAGAGCTTCAAGAAAGAGATTGCATGGAATTCAACTAACTTTTTTTCAAGTTGGCAAGGTTCTACTACCTCAATTAAATAGCTTTACATCACCAAACATCTTTACATAACCACTTAGTTTACTGTATTCATCTTTCACAGGCACAAACACAGACAAGAAAGCTGATCTACACTATGCAGATAACTCACCGGTCTTCTCTCATCTCCAGGTTGGGGACCAAGTTGTGTTCCAGGGTTGATCTCATGGGGAGGCCACCCAGGCATGCCACTTGAAGGTCCAAAATCTGAGCCATCAGCAAATCCTGTAATTTGATTGGGTTGTAAAGAATCATCACCATTCCCCTGGGGAACAAGTACCTGAGATGAACTTGTCGATGAATCTGGTGCGGCAGACTGGTTTGCCTGCGGCATTCGTATGTTCATACCTACAACAATAGCATTGCCCAACATTAGTTCAAGGAATCCTTATTTGTACTTCAATGAAAAGGCTTCACAATTCAGCAACATAAAGGACAAACAAAACATCTAAAAGGCAATCAACATTTTTAGGACGGTATTAGAAGTAGACCACAACATCAGTCAAGCCCTGAGCCCGGTTGTTCAAAAGTAGGTTAAGATAACCCAAAGTTAGTGTGAAATTTGATTTCAGATCTGAAAGCTTTAAAAGAAAATTCAGCTTAATTCCATTTGTCTACAATTTGATGATTTAATGTCCTAAAATAAATTGGGAAAATTATCCAAAAACAGCTTTTGATCAGAGAAATATAGAAACCTGGATTAAGATTTAACCCTGGGTTAGTGCTAATCGCCTTTCGAACAATTGGGCCCAGGACATGATTTCAAAGAGTGGATGATGTCATACATAAGATAAATTATTATCCACTGTACTACTGTCTGAGACCTTCTAGCTTCTGAGGTATAACTAAGATCCTGTGACAATTCTTAGCAATAATACGACCTAAAAGAAAAAAAACCTGCATGACAAAGTCTTGATTTACTTCAGTCTGTAGTTGTTTGGTTGAACAGGATGGCACAAGTTTTCTGGACTAATAACAGAGCACAGTAGAGCAAAAATAATACAATACAAAACAATTTTGACATTGTTTAGAAAATTCATCTAACCATGGTAATTTTCACCTGTAAGGGCTTGGATCTGAGCATAAACCTCTGGCTGCAGTTGAAACTTAGGTTGCTGTTGACCAAGTCCTGGAGGAGGTTTGCCTCTCCTTTGAGATTCCACCGTTGCAGACACGCCACTTTCCATTTGGTGTGGAGACTGGGTTTCCTGTGGTACGGTGACCACTCCTGGTGGAAGAAGCTGTTGCTGCCTCAGCTGCTGCTGTTGTTGCTCATTAATGCGCTGCTGTTCTTGTAGCTTCTGCTGAAGGAGCTGAATCTGTTTTATATGTTCCTGCTGTTGCTCCTCAAGATTGGCGGCAACTGGATTAGTCATGACTAGGTTGACCTGATTCTCTGACAATTCTACAGCAGATGCATTGACTGTCTCTGTAGCAGGTGGCACTTCACTCTCTGTACAAAAACGTAATATTGTTGTTAGTACTGTTAAGCCAACTGTAAGGGAAAACTGCACCAAAATCAAGTTATCTTACTTATTTATGGGAATTATCACTGACTTTCCCCAAAGAAGCAAGAAGCAAAATTCTGCATTCAAAACTGACTTGCACAAAAGCAACATTAGCATACTCTAAGTACCGTATTTATTCATCTATAAGCTGATCTTGGCTATAAGTTGAGACCCTAAACTTCAGTCTGTTTTAATCAGGAAGGTTCTTAAATCCTATAAATTGAAAATACTCGGCCATAAGCCGAGACCATATTCAGAGAATTCCATTCTCGAACAAACTGAAATGAACACAAAAGTTTCAGAACAGAAAAGAGTTTCAATGCAGTATTGCCTTCGAAAACAATTCCGAGAGAACCAGAGAGTAATTCATCAGTGAGTTGCTAGAGGAAAGATGAAGAGAACCTCTTTAATGGGAGTTCAAGATGTCAGCAAAACACACAACGATGGGCCGTTACACTTCGAAATAACCGCAGCTGGATGAGAGATTACTTGACTGGTTTTCAGAGCAGAGAAGCCAAGATAAGTTTTCTTTTCACGTGATCGCAAATTTCAACACTGTAACATGTGACGAGTTTGTTTACCAATCATGGGAATGGGCAATTCGATTGGTCAGTTTCGAAATTTTTAAAACACTTTCGCAAGATCTGCACACTCATTCAAAACCTGCAGAATCTCTGATCTCTACACAGCAAGGAAGATGAAGAAAACTCGGAATAAATGGCAGAACTAGCGGATGAGGAGGAGATGGACGATGAATTCCACGCCAACACTGAGGACGAACAATAAGCCGTATTTATTATGTGCCGAAAACAACAAACCCCTCCTTTGGAAGCAACCACATAAATAAAGTCAATGACCATCCTCAACTTGTTTTGTTATTTACTTCTGCATGCAATATCTCGGCTTATAGACGAATATATCTATGTTTCCTTTGAATTTGCTGTTTCAAAGAAATTATGTTTGGAAAAACACTCGGCTATAAGCCGAGAACCCTTCTCTAGCTCAAAATTTTGAGATTTTGGTAAAGTTTTGTGAAAAAATCACTCGGCCTATAGATGACTAAATACGGTATGTCTTATAAGCAAGGTCTGTACCCTTAAAGTGCACCTATACCCAAAAATTTTTTTTCGCTTAACGAAATAAGCTTATTTTTTGGAGTATTTCTCTGCAAAAATTTCTTAATTTGCTCAAATCTTTAATTTTCTGTGCCCAGTCAAAATACGGAAAATCGGCCGCCATCTTGCCCCACGACCGAGTTTAAAGAGGAATGGCTCTAGCGGGTAATGTGACGTCAAATCGAGAACACGAAAGTCTGCATTTCACACATTTTCACTTGTTTGGGAAGGTTGTCGTCGATATTGTCCGAAATATGCCGACTAGGTGTGTTGTATGAGGAATGTATGAAGCGCGATACCCTCTTGCAAATTTCGCACGTTGCTACATCCTTCTACAACACACTTAGTCGGCATATTTTCGGACAACATCGACTACAACCTTCCCAAACATGTGAAAATGTGTGAAATGCAGACTTTCGTGTTCTCGATTTGACGTCACATTACCCGCTAGAGCCATTCCTCTTTAAACTCGGTCGTGGGGCAAGATGGCGGCCGATTTTCCGTATTTTGACTGGGCACAGAAAATTAAAGATTTGAGNTTACTAAAATTTTTAAAGTGCACCTATACCCAAAAATTTTTTTTCGCTTAACGAAATAAGCTTATTTTTTGGAGTATTTCTCTGCAAAAATTTCTTAATTTGCTCAAATCTTTAATTTTCTGTGCCCAGTCAAAATACGGAAAATCGGCCGCCATCTTGCCCCACGACCGAGTTTAAAGAGGAATGGCTCTAGCGGGTAATGTGACGTCAAATCGAGAACACGAAAGTCTGCATTTCACACATTTTCACTTGTTTGGGAAGGTTGTCGTCGATATTGTCCGAAATATGCCGACTAGGTGTGTTGTATGAGGAATGTACGAAGCGCGATACCCTCTTGCAAATTTCGCGCGTTGCTACATCCTTCTACAACACACTTAGTCGGCATATTTTCGGACAACATCGACTACAACCTTCCCAAACATGTGAAAATGTGTGAAATGCAGACTTTCGTGTTCTCGATTTGACGTCACATTACCCGCTAGAGCCATTCCTCTTTAAACTCGGTCGTGGGGCAAGATGGCGGCCGATTTTCCGTATTTTGACTGGGCACAGAAAATTAAAGATTTGAGCAAATTAAGAAATTTTTGCAGAGAAATACTCCAAAAATTAAGCTTATTTTGTTAAGCGAAAAAAAATTTTTGGGTATAGGTGCACTTTAATGAAAAACAACTTTCCAAGACTTTTCCATGACTTAGATTGATTTTTCCAGGATTCCAAAGATTCAAAATAACCTTCTAAATCTCAGAAAAGACCAAGCTGTCACTTAAAACATTAAAATGACAAATAATGAGGTAAAGAACACACAGGGAAAATAGCAACCAAATTAATTTGGTACCATATTTTAGAATTTCACACCTTTCCAAGTTTAAGGAACCTCCAATAAACCCTGTATAGTTCTTCTTATGATTCTCTTGTGTACATTTTAGAAAGGAACAACATCTCTGAAATTGATTATTTGGTATCAGTGTCTGCCCATCCTTGGCTTACAAGAAGTTTGCTAGTTCACAAATTAGTATTCAGGCTGCCTGTGAATGAGTAAGTGCCCCTAGTCCCACTTTTGCCTCCTTTGTGTAGCACCATTATTGTAGGAGAAAGCATTGCTTGACAAATCTATAAACAGCTGTTATTTAGGTATGTTTTCACTATGCTAAAGTTTCTTGTCAAGAAACCAATCAGTTAATGTATGCAAGCATCTAGCAAATCATCGCCAAAGTGCTCCACAGCTTAAGTATCAATAATAGTTACTCGCCTTCGGTTAATGTAGATGGCAAGTTCAGAAGAGGTTGAATTACTTCAGGTGAGTATATTCCATTCTTTTGCCACAAGTTCAAAACCTTGATTACCTTTCCCTAAACATTAGAACACAAACATGAAGTAAGAGTTTGGGACTGGAATAAAGGCAGATTAAAACCCTTTGCACTGATCAAGAAACTGTTATGTAAAGGGAGCACCACAGTTCAAGAAAAAGTATCAGTTCTCAGGTATATCAGTCCTTATGATATCTTTTCCTAACCTGAGAGGGGTGAGAAGGGAGCAGAGTGGCACAGTGTTGAGAGCGCTTACCTCCCACCACTATGGTCTAAGTTCAATTCCTAGCCCTGGTATCATGTGTCAGTTGAGTTTATTGGTGTTTTTTTTTGTCAATGCTCTCTGGGTTTTCCTCCAGGTCTTCTGGTTTTCCTCCCTTTGCAAAAATGAACATTCTAAATTCCAATTCATCCAATTCTTGAACAGGATGAACCACCTCATGGAGTTTCCACAGCTAAATTATTAATATCATTATTTTTTTTTTAACCTGTTCCTCTGGAGTACATCTGAAAATGTGCTGAAAGGTTGGTTTGATGTTTTTTGCAAAGCGTGGTCCATACACATCTTTCTCGGCACCAAACTACACGTAATAGGAGAACAATCAATGAAGTACATATAAAAAAAAATCTTAAAAATACAGAGTGGCTTATCCCTTTAACTCCCATGGGTGACAAAGACAGAATTTCTCCTTACAATATCATTACAATATTCAAAATACAAGTGATGAGAGTGAAGAAAAAAATCAAATAGGGGATTATTTGTTGATCCAATACCAAATTCTCTCAACTAACATGATATGAATTGTATCGTAGACAGTAAAGAGAATTACTAATGAGATCTTGAGAGTAAAAGGTTTAATATCAAGCCCACAACCATAATGTGTCGCATTATAAAGCCACCTTCCCTCTAAGAACAAATTAAAAGTTCAGCTCTGAATAGCTGCTATAATTATTTGTGGTTTGATTGCTTGACTAAATTGTACCCAACCATAGAATCAAGTTTGGGTATGATTTATTTAAATTTATTGACTGTTCAATTTTTTTCCTTGCAGCTTCCCAGGAGATGTAGAATAAACAATGCAATCTCCATTTTAGTTCAATCATGCAGACATTTTTCATGAATTAGTGCAGCTCATCCACAAATACAAAACTCTACATTCTAGACAACTTTCATCCTCCTTGGTACTTCTATATTCTTGAAATTTCTCTCATGATTCAGCTGCTTATGTAGACTTTCATGGTGACGATCATATTAACACGTATATCAGCTTTCTAACCAGTATATGTAAATGAGTTACAGCGTATGGAAACATCAGACACTATAAAAACTAACAACAAAAAAGCCCCAGCACATTCTAGGGGATAATTTGTTGGCAGCACATGAATAATCAACGCAAAGACTCACCTGATGTCGCGATTGCCGTATCACAGAATCCATCACATACAGAGCAGGAACTTTATACTCCTGCCGACACTGAAACAACGAAGGAAATTTGAAAAAAAGGTTTACTTCATTCCGAATTTGTCAGGAACAAAAACAATTCCACCACAATAACGCCATTTGGAAAAAGGACAAGGAATCTGGACAAACCTTTTGTGCAAACTTCTCAATGCTCTGTACCACGTGTTTATAATACTGCAATGATACGATAGTTTATTACAGTTATTAAGGTAAATCGTTGGAATTTCATAGCGCCATTTTTCGGTTGTTAATAATAAATATGAACACAACTCATACCTTGATGGCCTTAACAGCAAGCCTGGTAACAGATGCAACCTTTGCTTTAGAGATAGGTGGCTTGGTTTCATAGATTGTCGACAGCTGAAATTAAAGATCGAACCTTGCAAGTTTATCGAGGAGGGGAAGAACTCTCGAGGCCGTGTAGCCAAAGCGATTTTTACTTTAAACTTTCTTACATGGCATCATACTTACTTCACTATTGAACTGCCTTACAATTTCCATGTCCCCCATTTTTCTTCGGTCGGTAATTCAGAAACTACAGAGGAATTGCCCAATAATTAAGTTGACTCCATTGTAGGGTAGAGGGAAACCAAGATGGCGGAACTAAGTGTGCGGCTGTCCCATCATGCTCCAGCGAGAAAAAAAAAAAAAACGACCCATGGGGTCCCCTGCTAGTTCTCTCGTTTTTTTTTTTCTTTTGTGTGTACTCGATTTTCATTGGGTGGAGGTACTTTCAGAAGTCGCGCGAGGACTTCTTTTGAAGACTTCGCGTAGTTTTCTCGCACCAACCATTTGGCAGTGAGAACGTAACTCGTTATAAGCGGTATTTTTAAAAGCAACTGGAGTTGTCGACACCCGTTTACCGCGCTGGCAGGACAGGATCTCTAAACCGGAGGTAAAGATGCTAAGACAACTGTATTATGCGGTTATTTACCCTTATCTTAATTATGGTGCAATGTTTTGGGGCAACACTTATCAGACTTATTTAAAGAAGAATAGTACTAAACAAAATAAATGCATCTGAAGTATCTTTTTTGCAAACAAACGAGAACCCTCTTCCCCTTATTACCAAAGGCTTGAAATGTTAAAATTCGAAAATGTTGTGAGATTCAAAATCTGCTTACTTGCATTTAAATTATATAATAATCCAATAGCTATTCCTGCAATTTTCCATAATGTTTTTAATACCTATAACAGCTGTCCACTCTTATAACACCAGACAATCCGCCAAACTTAATTTCCACCGACCACAAGTCAGAACAAACATAGGCAAATTTACTTTTAAGTACTCTGCTCCTGTCTCCTTGGCATTGAAAAAAATAAAAACATTTAACAGGTTTAAGAAACTTTATATGGCCCACCTGATCTCTCATCAATCAAATAATATATGATATCTGTTTAGTGATGAAATATATGGTATGTAACAATCCATATGTAAATAACTATAGTAATAACAGTTAATAATTGTAATTTTCCGCTTCTTTGTAGGTCTTTGTTGTTGCTGCTACTGCTATTGTTGCTGATGATGCGCTGTTCTTTTCCTCTCCTTTGTCTCTGTCTCTCCTTTTGTCCATAGTTGTTGTTGTTGTTTGTTTGTCTGTATGTGTGTCTGTTATTGTTGTTGTTGATTGACCAACATTTTCCGCGAAAGAAGAAGCGTATTCGTAGACAGACGCACCCCTGGCTTGACAGTAGTGTTCTTAAACTCATGAGAACGCGCGATCAAGTACACAAGAGAGCAAGAAAGTCACGACTGTCTTCGGATTGGAATGAGTATAAATCCCTTCGAAACAGAGTCACCGCTGTAAACAGAAAAGCCCGGTAGAATTATTTCAAAAATAAGCTCGAGGAAAACCGCAGCAAGCCTAAGGCCTTTTGGGACACAGTACGTCAAGTTTTGCCCTCCAGGAAAAACCGCACTGAGATCGACAAGTTAGTAGTCGATTGTAAAGAGCTAATCGACAAACATGACATCGCTAACTCACTAAACGAGTATTTTGCAACAATTGCTTCCTCACTGTTAGCCAGTCAGCAATCCCTCGGCTACCCTGCCGAACAGACGAGCCCTTTAGCGTTTCCCAGTCACAGCTTCAATTTTCGCGCCGTGAGTGAAAACGACGTTTTCAAGGCTCTACGAACCATGGACATATCAAAGGCCACAGGTGCAGACACCATTCCAGCCAAAGTCATCAGGACTGCTGCACCATACATCAGCAATGTTGTAGCTAAGTTATTCAACACATCTTTCAGATGCGGCCGCTTCCCGTCCATTTGGAAAACGGCAAGAGTAACTCCCTTGTTTAAAGGGGGGCTCCAGACCGAACGTGACAATTACAGACCAATTTCCATTCTTCCCTGTATCTCAAAAGTGCTTGAATCGTTTGCCAACACTGATCTTCAAGGTTTTACAGAAGACGCCGGCCTCATCACTGACCATCAATTTGCATATGCCAGGTACTCGTCTACCACAGTTGCGCTCATCGTAGCCGTTGATTCATGGAAATTCGCCATTGACAGGGGTGAAAAAGTTGTCTGTACTTTCTTAGACCTAAGAAAAGCTTTCGACCTAATTGAACATAACATCTTGATCAGTAAACTGTCAAAACACGGTGTCACTGGAAACGAACTTGAATGGTTCAAAAGTTACCTACAGGGAAGAAACCAATTCGTATCATACGGAACTGTGGAGTCCGAACGTCGTTTAATCACGCACGGAGTTCCGCAAGGTTCGGTTCTAGGACCTACTTTATTCAACATCCATATCAACGGTATCACCGACACTTGCACAGATAGCGAAGTAGTACTATACGCCGACGACACAGAAATCCACGCCAGCGCAAAAGATGTAAGTGCCGCAGAAAAACGTGTCAACAAAGATCTAGAAAGTATTGCAACATGGTGGAATCAGAACGGTTTAATCAGTAATCACAAGAAATGCAAGGCTATGTTGATTGGATCAAAGCATGCTGTTAAAAACACCCGAGCGTTACAGATTATCCTCAATGGAAAACCAATGAAACAGTCAGATTACTTTAAGTACTTAGGAATTTACCTCGATCATTGTCTGACATGGAGCAAACATGTAGCCTATATACAATCTAGGGTTTACCCTAAACTAAAACTGCTTAACAGAATTTCATCCTTTCTTAGTCGCGATATTTTGCTCAGAATCTACAAGCAGACTGTATTACCTTTGTTAGACTATGGTTGTGTTGTATGGGGCGAATGTAGCAAAGAGAATGCCCAACGTTTAGAGCGCCTGCAAAACCAAGCAATGCGAATAATATTGCATGCTGACCGTAAGACATGTACTCAGGAGATGCGCGCCAAATTACAACTATTATCACTTCACAGTAGACGCCTTTTCATCAAGCTACAGTATGTTTACAAGATAATTAACAACATCAACTGCCCTAAGCAGTTGACAGGGTACTTAGTGAAACGATCACAGAGACACTGTCGAGCCTTTAGAGATCCAACATTATTAGATCTACCACAAGTTAAGACCAAATGTGGACAGACCTCGTTTAAGTTTTCGGCTGCGAGTGCCTGGAACAAACTGCCAAGAGAGATTCGCGAGCTCACAACACTCGCACAATTTAAAGGCAGAACTTTCACTTACCTCGTAAACACGGACAGCGTAAATCATATTTGTACAAGTTAAATGTAATTTTTATATATAATTTATACATTTTAGATTTGTAATTGTAATTCTTATTGCTTGTAATTCTTTTTAACTGGTCACCGATTAATACCAGTCGATCTATATCTTGATCGACTGACCGGTTTCTTACCAGGATAAATAAAGTTATTATTATTATTATTATTATTATTATTATTATTATTCAATGTATAGATTTGATTAAGTATCAGTGAGCCTGTCTTTCAGTATAAGTATCCTGAAACTGACATGGATAGGATAACTAACCTGGTTCCAATACTAAGCAGACAGAATATCAATGAATATAGTGATATTTTACAGAGTTGAAAAAAAAAAACCGACCCAGATAAGAAAAAAGAAAGTGGTGAAACATAAGACTGATAAACCTATAATGACTTAGCTTTTCCACGAAACACTTAAATAATCCGTATTTTCCATGATTTCACGCAAGCCTCTTCACCGTGCAATCAGAATATTTATTTCTGACTGATTCGTTCCCGTGTCACTCAGACGTCCGAGATGACATTTTTTACAGTATGTTTCCCTATGGATCACACATGATAAAATTACAATTTTATTGGGGAGAAAAAAAATCCAGCAAAACACAGCATTTTAGTTGGAAAAGTTAGAAATTGAAACAGGAAGCACTATATTTACTGAAGCAGAGATGAAGAGCTTCGGGATGGGTCAATATTGACCAATTTCACCAAAACAGAGATGAACAACTGGTCTACTTTATACAAGGCAAGAATGAGAAAATTGATTTGTCCAGTCAGTAACAAAACAATGGTCTGATACCTTGCTCCGAGTGCGTAATCTTGTCGATCTCTTCTGCTTCTCGGAGATGGATAGTCTCAAAGCCATAATGAACCCTTTCACCCCTATGAGTAACTAGCATCGAATTTCAGCTTCGAATCACACATGAATTAAGGTCAGGAAACAAATGCTAACGAAAGAAAGCTCTAATTGCCAAACAAATTCTCCTTGTCAGCACCTTAGGAAATGTATAGAGAAAAATATGGATAGCGTGCTTACCGCTTTTAGGGTGTTAAGGGTAAAGCGATATCGTTTCAAAAGCCATGGAAATGTAAAGTTAACAAATACGGATGTGGAGATAAAAGAAAGCTGTCCTTAGCTTTCCCGAAGATCATCTAAAATGTCTTCTATTTCTTATATTGACTTCCTGGAGTATGCTACTACAGCTAAGAGACCAATACCTTTAATCTTAATCACACGCACGGTCAGTAACCACTTCTCAAGACATCAGCTTCGGACTTCTGTGGTCGGATATTGTCCGAGAAGTTTCGACAATTGCAAAAACACACGAGAGTCTTATGGGGTGTAGCTTTGACGATTGAAAATCAAATATAAGGCCTTACAATGTTTTCGTTAGCCTGTTTGCATACGGTAGTTGGTATGTGGGAGGGGAAACGGGGGGAAAAGCCAGGGACAAAAAAACATAATAACCGCAAACCGTCAACCCCCCTCCCCCCAAAAGGTCAGTGGATAAATGAAAGGAATAGAAGATGGACATGCAAACTACAAGAAAAATTAGAGATCGAAATTTTCTTCTACCACAGATAACACGAGACAGTCCTACGAAGGAAGTGTACTT